CTCTTTCCCGTAGGCTTACCCTCAGTCCTCATTCATTTCCTAATAGGAGAGATCAAACTAGGAGGCACATGCTGACCCAAATTCAGTCCTAAGACATGAGCAATCTTGTACCAGTAACCTCTGTTACTTACAGTTTAAATAACGTTCCAACAAGTCAAGCAATTCCTGCTTAGGATTAATTTCTTTTTAAAAAAATAGATAATACAACAAAGCCTTAGATATAATTATTTTTTAAAAAGTTAAATTGAAGATAGGCCATCAGGATTAATTTTTACTCAGAGCCCATTCCAAATGGGCCGTGTTTCTGGAGTGAAACGGCACACAAAACACACTTAGTTAAAATCAAGTGTGGTAGCTGTATTTTGCCTGGTTTACCCAAGCGTTAGAAGCCAAGCTAATACATTGTAATGTCACTGAACTTAGCATCACTATGCTGACAAAGAACGGCTGTCACTTCCCAGGGGAACCTTGGGGTGGGGGGGGAAGGAATAAAACAACAACCAAACCCCTGAAACCAATAAAAGCCTAGTGTACACCATGCAGTTAAGACATCAATCCCGGCTAGGCAAGCAGCGACGCATGAGATGAGTAAATACTCACATTGTGCAATTTATAGTAGAGTCCACAGGCATTACAAACTGGGTCCCCGTTTGCATTACGTCGCCATAAGGTCGTGGTGGTTGTCTGACAGTTGGCACAACAAGTCCCTGCTCTCCTGGCCGCTGACTAACCAAAAGAAAAAGAAAATTAAAATGTATCACCAGGAGGACGGAGATCATGAGAAAGGTCAAGTTGGACTCAATATTTAGGTTGGGTAGAACTAGTTACTAAGATTTTACAGAGCATCAGGGCTGGAGGAAAGCTGCTGTCAGTTGGACATTTTATGGCCGTTAGGTTTTTGTTTAAATTTAAATACTTGTCCTATGCAGACTCCAGTTTCAAGCCCCATGGCGCTCCGTGTGCAGGGGAAGCAAGGAGAGAAACAATGAATCTCAAAACTCCACACACAAAAATTTTAGAGGGAGAAAAATCATCTGATTTGTTCACATTTTTCCTTTCCAGGATTCTAGAATGCACCATGAAAATACATTTGCCTTTTTTCTTGTTCTTTTAATGACCGATTTAGTTTGTACCAGTGTTGGGACAAGGTTTAAAGAGAGAATCATCTTAAAGAATGTGATTTTTATCCCTACTCTGGCCCTTTAAAGGTGGACACAAAAGAAAACCAACCGCATTACTTAGCTGGGTGCAGTATTTATCAGAGCCATCACTGAAAATTCAGTTTGCATTTACAAGTGAAAGGGAGAAAACAAAACCGGCTTCAACTTTCTTTAAATATTTAGCAAACCAAATTTCATGCCTTGCAGCAAAGATTCCGCTGACCCGTCTGCTGCCTCTGTCCATACTCAGCTCCTTGGCTGACAAGCCTTCAAAGAACTGTCTTAAAAGAAAATAAAAGCCACCAAAAAAATCCACCACCCTTTCCTAAAACTATTGTTCTGCTGAAACCAAGGTGAGGGGAAAGAAAAATGCCCAAACATTCACGCACCTCCCAAAACAAGAACAGGAAAAGTAGAACAGCAGGCAGCCAGTGATTCCTGGACTGGCCCTTGTCTAGCAGACCCCAAGATAATGCTTTCTTTGTGCATGTATGGTGATGTATAAAGTGGTATGGAGGGACCGACTGCACCCCGCATTTTGGGAAATAACTTTGTGTTAGAAAGCTTCAGCCCTGCCTCTC